AGGAGGAGGAGTGGGCAGGAAGGTCAGTAAGTCCTATGTTCATACGTCTCTGGGGTTCAAGCCTCCAAAGGCGGCCTTCAGAAATAACTGCAGAAGTATCCATAATAGTTACACACGGGGAGAGGCATTACCCACGGATATCTGTAAGAGCTTCCAATAGTCACAGCAAGCAGGCCAGTTCCCCTGGTGTTTTAACTGCTTTAAGATTTCAAAACTGTGACTGATGAAGAATGGGCAGAGAGTATGTTGTTGGGAGATGTGATACTAATTAATAAACATGCTTTAAGTTCCTTTTTTCTCTCAAGTAAGCTGGCGTGTTTGATCAACACCAGATTTGCTGGCTGGAAGTTTTTTATTTTGTTGTTCTGAACAAGGACCCTAATTCTTCGTAGGAATAAGAGAACCTCTCTGTTGGGTATACAGTATTCAGTTGGCCTGAGAAAACACAAAAACCCACTCAAGCCTCCAGACTTGTTTACACAGAAAGCTGAACCTGTGGCTGGCTTAGCGTCTGCTGCCTGTTCGGGGGCATTGTTTACTGCAATCTGCTCAGAACCCCCCCACCCCCAGCCACCACCGCGCACACACATACCTTGAGAATAGAACCTTTCTTTGGCTGGAGGGGGATGGAATAGGATTGCATGACCGCAGTGTAGGGTCAAGCATACTGCTCAGGATGGGAAAATTCAATTTGATGAGAAAATGGCTGTGAGCGCTGCTTTTACTCCCAAGTGGCCTAATGAAAGGTGGAGAAACTGGTCAGGGCCGCCAGTCTGCAGAGAAGCCCAGATGCCAGGTAGGGGGGTCACACAGCCTGAGCTCGCCCCACGAGGGGTCACTTGGGCAAAAGGAAATGCCACCACCGGGCAGCAAATTCCTCCTTCCACTCCTGCCTCTGATGTATTGGGAACCTTCTAAACCCTAATGAGCCTCACTTTGTACAGTAAATTTGCTGAGACATCAGAAAGTATTTAAAAGAAAGTTTCCTGCTTTTTTCTAATGAGCAAGGTGAGGATTTATGTTGTGTGGGGAGGAGGAAATCTGGCTGCTGGGACCAATGCTGAGGAGAGTCCATCTAACACACTCTAAGTTAAGCTCCCCTCACTTGGGGCTCCGAGTACAGAGACACGCAGTTAGGGAGTGAAAAACGCCATTTGGTTCCGAGCAGATGGCTGGCTAGGGGCTGATGGCGTCTAAAGGCGTGTCATCCCCCTTCAGCTCGAGTCCCTAAGGGCTCCCCTTGTCTTCCCAATCAATGAAAATTAAAGTGCAAAGAAAGGATGAATAGTCGGACCTCGAGTCTCTCCTTTGTTCATCCCAGCTACTGGTGCGCAGGAGTTAAACTACAACAGGCTCCTATAGAAACACTGAAGTTAAACAGTCTCCTGGTTAGCTCAGCTTTTGAAAGAGAGACGGGAAAGGAACAGACCTGGGAGGAGAGAGAAAGAGACAGAGAGAGAGACAGAAGAGCAGAAGAAGAACAACAAGAACAACAAGAAGAAGAAGAACAAGAAGAAAAGGGCTTTCTGCTTGATTTCCCCGGTACAGAATCGCGTGGCATAAATTAAGTCGGAAAAGAATGAGCGCTTTGGGCAGGATTCTGATGGATTTTACGATGCCTTTCAGTTCCGCTTTGCCGCGGTAATCGAGAAATCTGTGCCACGTCAATTTAACAAATACTTGATACTGAGGGGGTTTGTTAAAGATTTCAGACGTCTTTTTTTTTTTTCTTCTTCTTCTTCTCTCTCTCTCCCCAATGTTTAAGCCCTTGCGCGTGGAACTTTTTATTTCCAGTCTTCTAAACAGGCATTTAAATGAGCTTCTGCCCCACTTCCATTTTGTAATTAAAAGATTCCTGATATTTTATTTCTTCCTGAGCATCTCTTCTCCTTCCAGACCCCACCCCACCCCCACACACCCCGGCACAATGTAGGAAGCAGGGTTCCCAGAAATTAGCTTTCGGCGGAAACATCGACCTAGTGAAAAAGGATGCCGACACTAGGTGGCAAGAGTAAATTAGGATTCGCGCTGGCTCAGCCCTGTAGCGATGCGGCAAGCCCCACAGAGCCGCAAAGGGCGGCCGAGCGGGGATCCCAGAGGCACCAAGGTGGCGGCGGCATCTCCCGAAGCCTCCGTCTGTTCTGCTCCGAGCGGGAGTTCCCTGGGGAATGCCGGGCCTTACACCCCGCACACTGCCCCTTTGGTTAACTCTGCCTCTCCAGGAGGCAGCTGCGGGGAACCTGACGTTTACAACTCTGCTGATCCCGTTCAAACTTCCCAGTTATCTCGGGGAACGGCGGCAGGGCCCAGTGGGGGCCCCTGAAGAAGAGCTCTAGAATTCCGGCCCCAGTTGCCACGGAGCCACAAGAGACTGCCCCGTCACCGAGTCATGCTTGAAGTGGCTGTTTCCGTGATATTTCTTGGTGTTGGAGGAACCCCTGCCCTTTGTGTGCATTCTGTGAGAACGTGTGATCAAGCTGCCGCTTCAATGAAATGTACGTTTTGCCACGGAAACGCACGTTTGCATCCTAAAGTGGCTAAGACGTGGCGTTTAGCGCGGCCCACCCCTACAGCGAGGCCCTGGTGGCCCACCGCACTCGCGGCTTAGCCGGGGCTGGAATGATCCGCCACGATTAGAGCGACTTTTACTCGGACGCTCACACCTGGCTTCCCAATGAAGCTGCCGCGGGGGTTGGCAGCGAGATGGGGTTGAGGGAGGCGGGGTGGGGAAGAAGCCCCCCAGGCCCACCCTAGCACAAGCCTCTAAGTTAGGAGTCCCGACCCCAACCTTCCCGCTCCCACCTCCGCCCTGGAAGCATGAGAGCAATTTGGGTAACTCATTGTGCTATACGCGTGTGCTCGGCCCTCCCAATAAACTTCATTTCCCTTAAAAAAGTCAAAACAAAAGTTCCAGCGTCCGATGGACCTGTACAAAAATAACACGATGCGGTGCGGGGGCGGGTGGGGGCTGGGCGGCCCGGGCTCGGGCGGCACATTGTTGCAGCGGCCGCGGCGTGCGCCGAGGGGAGCTCTTTCTCCGCGCGCATTGTGCGGGAGCAGGTGCTGGCCGCATTACCATACAGCTGAGCGCACAAAGGCCCACTGATTCAGCCCGCGCACAATAACAAACTGCCTAATGACAGCCACGCGAACGACACACACCAAACTCACTTTTTACCAAGCGGAGGGAGGCCGAGGGGGGAAAGTGCCCGGAGAGAGGGAGGCCGAGACTCGAGGGGGACGGCCGGGCGGTGCGGCGACCGCGCCGGGGCCGGGAAGGCTGTGTGGAGGGGCGGGGGCTCCGGCTCTCAGGCCCCAAGCGGCTGCGGACTGGCGCGGGGACCCCGGGCGCCGCGCGCTCCCGCCCCGCCCCCCTTGCCCGCTGCCCTCCCCGACGCGGGGTCGCCTGCTCGGCTGGGAGGTGTGTCGGTGCCAGCCTTCCCGAACTTCCAGCCGGTGGTGGCGCCGGCCCCACTCGGCCTCCGCCCCGCCGTCCGCACCTCTCTAGCAGTGCCCCCTGCCCTTCCGCCAGCTGGCGGCTCCTCCCGGGGAAGGCCTCACTGGGCAGGGGAGCGGCGCCGCCGCGACTCTAGGCCTCCGAGACGTGGTCCTGGCCCCGCCCCCTGCCCCAGGCAGAGCCAGGAGTGTGTCCCCCGGCGGCGCGCTGCGTCCCGGCGCGTTGTGAGAGGCTGCGTCTGGCTGGCAGAAGTTGGACGCGGTACGGCTGCGGAGAGAAGGCGCCCGCGCTTCAGAGTGTGTGTGTGTGTGTGTGTGTGTGTGCGTGTGTGTGTCCGCGCGTTTGCGCCGGGTGCGCGCGGAGGGGCCGGTGAGGGCACGGAGGGGACCAGCACCGGCTCTGGGGGATCGGCGCGGGAGCGGGGGGACCGGCGGGAGCGGAGGGGCCGGGAGGCCTGGGCGCGCGGGTTCGCAGGAATGTAAATGAGCGCGGTGCGGGGCGGGCGGGGGCGGGGCGGAGGTGGGAGCGGTGGGGGCGGGGAGGGGGATTGCACATTTTACAGCTCACTGACCATTTGGCGAGCCATTGAGAGGAGGGTTTGGAAAAGTGGCTCCTTTGTGACAGCTCTCGCCAGATTGGGGGGCTGCTCATTTGCATCTCATTAGCCATGCGGGCGGCCGGCTGTATATAAGGGCGACCGGCGCCGGCGGGACGCAGATCCGCGGCGCTCGCTCTCGGAGACCAGGCCGGCCGCTCAGGGACCGCCGGAGGACGCACCAGCGCCGCGTTCCCTCCGCAACACGGACCGCTCGCCGACCCCCGCTCGCCGACCCCGCGTGCCTTTGGGTGGATTCGTGGAAAAGGCGCGTGTCTTCGCTGCGGCCCGGGAGAGGCGGCCCGAAGTGCTCTCTGAACGGCCGCGCGGCCGAGTGGCGCCAGGGTCGCGATCTGCAGGGCGCACCCGCCCGCGCACCAAGAAACAGCGCCCGCCGCCGCCGGCCCGCACGCCCCGCCACGGCGCCAGCAGCCGACCGCTCCGCCCGCTCTGCTCCTCGGGCGCCGGGATTATCGCCTGGCCCGCAGGGATTTCCAGGTCGTCGCGTTCTAATCGGCCTGGGAGGCAGCTTGCAACGCTTGGGAATTAAGCTAAATATCTGCGTGCTTTCTCGCCCCTCTTTCATTCCCCCTGTGAAGAAGCCGGAGACAAAACCAGGAAGAGGACGTCCAGCCTCCCGCGGGTTGGAAGAGAGGGAAGAAAACCGAAAGTTGCGCCCTGCGAGCGCGCTCCCCCTCCCCCTGACAGAGGCCACCCTGTGCTGTCGGCCGCCGGGAGGCGACTCCACCGGGACAAGGCAAAGGGCGAGTCAGGGAGAGCTAGTCCTACTTATTCCGGCCTCGGGCAAAACACCGGCATTTCGTCCGTCGGCGCTTCTGGAAACCCCTTCATCCTCCTTTAATTGCCTGTCGTTTTAAGAAGAAGAAGAAAAAAAAAAAAAAAGGGGGAGGAAACCGGGAACAGGAGCGAGCCGAGCCCGTGCACGCCATGGGCCGTCCGTGCGCGCTGGCCCTGGCCGTGGTATCGGCCCTGCTGTGTCAGGTAGGTCACCGGGGGCTGCTACTCAGATGGGGATACCTCGGGCCAGCTGTTCTGGTGGGGGTACCTGGGGCCCGCTGTTCTGGTGGGGGTAACTGTGTCCTGCTGTGTCAGGCGGAGGTAACCAAGGTCTGCTGCTTCAGGGGGGTCACCACAGGGCCTGCCGTGTCAGGTGGGGTACCTGAGCCCTGCAGTTCAGGTGGGTCGCCCCAGAGCCTGCTGTGCCAGGTGAGGGTACCCGGGGCGCAGGCGCACACGGATGAGCCAAGAGCGCGGAGGCGGGGAGGGCGGGAGCCCTGCAGGCCAAGCAAACTGTCTGTAGGAAAGCGAATCCGCGAGACACGAGCCGGAGGGCGGGTTCCGGGGCTCACTGCCCTTCCCCTGCACAGGTCTGGAGCTCGGGGGTGTTCGAGCTGAAGCTGCAGGAGTTCGTCAACAAGAAGGGGCCCCTGGGGAACCGCAACTGCTGCCGCAGCGCGGCGGGGGGCGCGGGGCCGCTGCAGTGCGAGTGCAGGACCTTCTTCCGCGTGTGCCTCAAGCACTATCAGGCCAGTGTGTCCCCCGAGCCGCCCTGCACTTACGGCAGCGCCGTCACGCCGGTGCTGGGCGTCGACTCCTTCAGCCTGCCCGACGGCGCGGGCGGCGGCCACGCGGCCTTCAGCAACACCATCCGCTTCCCCTTAGGCTTCACCTGGCCGGTGAGTACCGGCGCCCGGAATGGGGCGGCCGCTGGGAGGCCGAGGGTCCGAGGGCGGCCGGCAGGGGTAGGGGGAGAGGCCGAGGGCCCAAACCCGGCAAAGCCAGGGCACGTCCGCGCCGGCCCGGCTTCCACACCGAAGGGAGCCTCCACGTGGGGACGTTCTCGCCCCTGCTCCTCGCCTGGGGCGGCTGGGACAGGGACGGTCCAGGTGACAGGCCCGGGGCTACCCTTCGGCCGCCCTCTCCTGCCCCCGGCCCCTCCCACCCACCGCCCCTCCTGCTCACAATTTTATTTTAAAGCGGAACATCCCGTACAACAGGCTGAAAAAACACGACAGGAAACCGCTGTTTAAAAAGTTCTTCCATTTCTTTAAGGAAAGTGAAAACGGGCAAAAGATATACAGGGGCCTCCGCAGGGCACACACCCAGGCGCCTGTTACTGAGCTGTCTCTGCGGCTGGGATGTGTTTTTGAACATTTCTAGTTTACCTTACACCTCCTTCCATCTTCCAGGGCACCTTCTCCCTGATCATTGAAGCTCTCCACACGGATTCTCCGGATGACCTCACAACAGGTACAAAATGCAGAAAAACTCCAGGACTTTGCACCTTTGGCATTTTGTGCCCCATAAGCAAACCCTCTCATCCTGCATGTCCACTCAGAAAGTTCAGGACAGAGGGGCGCTGCCCTCACGTGTGTCTGGTCTCCTGGGGATGACCCCTGCATCTCACCCTGCTGCCCCTCTCCTCCATTTCCCACCCCCCACAGAAAACCCAGAGCGGCTCATCAGCCGCCTGGCCACCCAGCGGCACCTGACTGTGGGCGAGGAGTGGTCTCAGGACCTGCACAGCAGTGGCCGCACGGACCTCAAGTACGCCTACCGCTTCGTGTGTGACGAGCACTACTATGGGGAGGGCTGCTCTGTCTTCTGCCGTCCCCGGGACGACGCATTCGGCCACTTTACCTGCGGGGAGAGAGGGGAGAAGGTCTGCAACCCTGGCTGGAAGGGCCAGTACTGCACCGAGCGTGAGTCTCCTCCCCAGCGGCGGCCTCCGGGGGTTCTAGGGTGGGGGGACATCTGGGCCTCACCTTCCAGGCGGGGAGATAGCCAAGGGCAGAGCACCCTGCAAGATCCCCAGCTTCTGGGATGTCATAGCCTACAAGAGCGCTTATCCACCATCGGAAACTGCCTTTCTTAATCAGGGAGGGTTTCGACATGGGGCCAGGGGTCAGGAAATCAGCCTGTGCTGCCCCAGGGTGTGTGTAGCCGGGTGGGAGGAGAGGGAGGAAGGAAGGAAGAGAGGGAGTGAGTGTTGTAGGGGCAGGTTCTAAACCGGAGTTTCTGCTGTGACAGCTTCTCAGTTGGAATTGCACCGGTTTTCTCTCGGCGTCGGTGTGCTAGTGTCCCCCCACCCCACCCCCCGGGCTGTATTTCCACATCTCCTAGGTGACACACTCTCCTTGTCTGTTACCCACACGCCCCAAGTCGCTGTCGGTGTGTATTCCCCTAGCTGTATGCAAACACAGAAACAGACATGAGAGGTGGAGGGGCGCCCAGAGAGGCCCCTGTTACTTGTGTCATCTGTGGACAGTGTGGTTTTGAGACGCTTGTCCACAAGGCTGCCAAGGCCTGGGGGGGGGGGGAGGCACAGAGTCACCTGCCTCCATCCTGGCTTTTGTGCGTCCTTTGCTTCTTCAAAGGCTCACACAGTGCCCTGCCTGGAAAAGAGATGTCTTGGTGCTACAGTGGTGAAATCAGGTTTCCCTGCCTGCTTACTAAGCACTAAAATGTCACAACCCCGCAGTGCAGGGCGGAACTTTGCAGGAAACAAAGTGGCCAGGGATGGGGGTGGGGCCTCTCTTGGCCTCCTGTGCCCCGCCTGTTCCCAGAGGCTTCAGGTTCTCCCTGTGGTCAGGAGTCAGTGGGTCCTAGAACTCTCCAGAAAGCCTAGTCAGGAGGAGCAGGTGAGCCTCAAGCAGGCTCTTAGGCCTGGAGTCACGGCCTGTCCACTTGGCAAGCACTTTCCTCCTGTCCTCAGTCCCTAGGCCTCAGGAGGGGCTCCTCAAGCCCCCTTTAAGCCCAGCATGGTCCAGAGCTGGCTTTGTCATATTAAACACCTGGGGCCGATCGCTTAATGCGTTACATAACCAGGCAAGTGAACCAGCTTGGCTTGCCTGGTGACCCCCCCCAAACCCTCCCAGGCCGCTGGCTGCGCCCACCCTCCCCTTCTTCCTCCCCTGCTGGGCAGCTATAAACTTCAACTTTTCCTTCTTATTCAAATACTCTACTCAGTCGTTCCCCGCCCCCGCCCGCGCGTGCCGTAGATTAGCTCTCTCTGGGCCAGGCCAGGCGGGTCCGTGGCCGGCACACGTGTGTGCGCGTGTGTGCGCGTGTGTGCACGCGGGATGCACGGAGGGGGGCCGGGGGAAGGGAGGCCGTATTGTTGCCCCAGGGCAGCTGCTGGGAGAGCGCAGACAATAGAGCAGCTGTCCTGCCCTGGCACCCTGCATACCAGCTGTCCACTCTTATCTGCACACACTTTCTGGGATATTAAGAGGTGGAGCTTTGTGCTTAGAATTGGGAAGTGGGGGAGGGGGCGGGGGGAAGGACTTCTGACCCTCTGAGAAGAAAAGGGAGGGGGTGGGGCTGGGGGCTTTTGAGCCCTCTTTTGTCCGTGTGCAACTGTATTAGGAAGAATGCTGTCCCAGGGCTAAGTACGGTCGGCAGTTACCAGGCAGGATGGATCAATACCCCACCAGATTGGGGAGATTAACTCGGCTGGGACTTGGGCGGGGCCGGGCAAGTAGAGGAGACCTCCCGCAGCCGCAGGGGGTGCCTCGGGGTGCCTCACACGTCTCGTTTGCCTGCAGCTATCTGCCTGCCTGGGTGTGACGAGCAGCACGGCTTCTGTGACAGGCCAGGGGAGTGCAAGTGAGTTTGCAGATGCTTTCCTTCCCTTCGCCTTCTTGTCACCTTTGACACCCAGTGTGCTTGTAAGCATCCCCAGGGGATCACAGAAACACCCTGGCAGCATTAGCAGGGGGTGGGGGAGGGGGTTCTTCTTTGGGGTTTCTACTGGATAAATGTGTGGAAATGTGTCTCGGCTTGGGGTCACTCCGAGCTCTCCATGGCCACGGGAGTTACAGGTAGCTGTTTAAAAAGGTTGGCACGGAAAATGAGAGTTTTAGCTCTGGGCGTCTCAAACCCGGCTGCACACTAGGATCCTGTGGGGAGCTTTTAAACACCAGCTCCCAGGCTGCACCACGTGGCAGTGGACTCAGAACCCTGTGGAGGGGGCGGCAGGCCCGGTATGTGCTGAAGCTCCAAGGCCATCCCAGCGCCTGGTGGGTGCTGCTGGAAGCCGGCTTCTCGTCTGGGAGCACTGCCCCCTGACAGTGCTTCCTGTCCTCCAGGTGCAGGGTCGGCTGGCAGGGTCGGTACTGCGACCAGTGCATCCGGTACCCTGGCTGTCTCCACGGCACCTGCCAGCAGCCGTGGCAATGCAACTGCCAGGAGGGCTGGGGCGGCCTCTTCTGCAACCAGGGTGAGCGTCCTGCCCGAGCCTTCCTGTCCTCCTTCCCGAGAGCGGGACGCCTCGCGCGGCGGCCACCGCGGCCAGTCTCCCTGACCTGACGTGCGTCCCACCGCCCACAGATCTGAACTACTGCACCCACCACAAGCCCTGCGAGAACGGAGCCACCTGCACCAACACGGGCCAGGGCAGCTACACCTGCTCCTGCCGGCCCGGGTACACGGGCGCCAACTGCGAGAGCGAGGTCGACGAGTGCAACACCGGCCCGTGTAAGAACGGAGGAAGCTGCACAGTACGTAGCGGCAGGGCTGGCTCAGACCTGGGTCCCTGACCTCGGGGCCCTGTTAGAAAGAGCAACCGTGAGTCTCTGGGAGCAGCTTCAGAAGGCGTTTTCTAATCTTCTCTGTTACGTAGGATCTTGAAAACAGCTACTCCTGCACCTGCTCCCCTGGCTTCTACGGCAAGCACTGCGAGCTGAGTGCCATGACGTGTGCCGACGGCCCGTGTTTCAACGGGGGGCGGTGCGCGGACAGCCCGGACGGGGGCTACACCTGCCACTGCCCCGTGGGCCACTCCGGCTTTAACTGCGAGAAGAAGATGGAGCCCTGCGGCTCTTCACCCTGCTCCAACGGTAAGAGGAGCCCCCGTGGCTCAGAGCCTGCAGAGAGCTGCCGCAGGGAGTCAGGACGTACACACATTCCATCTTAGCCAACGGCTGTCACGCTGGGTCGCACAAATGGTTAACAGACTCATCTACTAACTGAAAGGTGGGCGGGTCCAGTCCACCCAGAGGTGCCTCGGAAGAAAGGCCAGGCAATCTGCTTCTGAAAAACTGGCCGTTAGTTCTACTCTGACACACGTGGGGTCGCCATAAGTCAGAGTTGGCTCCACAGCAACCGGTTTGTGTTTTGGGGTCTCGTCACCTTGGGAAGGACTTGACAGCGTGCTTTTATCTGAGTAGGCAAGTAGGCAAGAATTCTGTAGAAACTTTATCCTCGAGTCCTCAACGCCCAGCAAGGAGAGGCAGGCAGGACCCTCACCCTCGTGTTGACTAGGGAAAATCTAAGGCAGTGCTGACGTGCGTGCTTGAGCTGACACGGCCCCTTGGTGCCTGGCGCCCCGACTGGCCCCTAACTCCTCGGCCGTGCTCACAGGGCACCAGCGCCCTGTATGTGGAGGGAAGCCCAGCTCTGGTGCGTCGTCTCCAAACACAGCAGTCTGGTGCTGGGGCGTGGGAACACGGAAGGAAGTGTGGTCCGCTGGCAGGGCGCCTCCTGCTACTGCTGGAGCAGAACAAAATGCCAGCACAAGCTCAGCATGGAAACCGTGGACGGGCTTGGCCCTGAAGCTTCAGAGGTCCCCTTTAGGCACGGTGATCAGAGGGGCCTGCCAGTGGAAAAAGCGTTTCACTTTGCTGTCCGTGTGCCCTTCGGCAGGTCCTGGGGGTCAGGTTGTGTCTCTTGTTTGTTTTCGCTCCCTAAATCAATTAAGGCATTAGATGCTTTATTTTTAGAGGCAGGGTAGGGAGGTTTAGGAAACTTGGCTGAAATAAAAAGACCTCTCTGCCCTTCCTCCCTCCTTCCTCCTTGCATTCCTTCCTTCTGACTTCAATCCCTGCTCTTCTTCCCTCTAACTGTGTCACTGTGGGCAGGAGCCTGGCCTTCTTGAAGCCATAGTTTCCCCATCTGTATGCTGGGCACAGTGGGCATCAGCCCCTTTCCAGGTTCTGTAAAGGCTGAATGCAGCGGTGCACGGTGCCTGTCAGCACTCAGCTGCTCCAGACGCAGCTCCGATGACTAGTTTTACTTTGTGAGCTGAACTTGAACTCTTCCCAGTGGGTTAATAATTGGGGAGATAGGGTATATTGCTTCCAACTGTGAACTCACCGAGAGGCCAGAGGCTGTCTTTCATTTGTCTCCGTGTCTCTGAGGTCCGCCCGGTGCCAGACACGTGGTAGACGTGTGAGCAGGTGCGGAGGAGGTGAGTGACGCGGTCCCTGCTGTGTTCCAGGGGCGCAGTGTGTGGACCTGGGCAGCTCCTACCTGTGTCGGTGCCTGGCCGGCTTCTCGGGGCAGCACTGCGACGGCAACGTGGACGACTGCGCGTCCCTGCCGTGCGCCAATGGTGGCACCTGCCAGGACGGCGTCAACGACTACTTCTGCACCTGCCCCCCGGGGTACACGGGCAAGAACTGCAGCGCCCCGGTTAGCAGGTGCGAGCACGGGCCGTGCCACAACGGGGCCACCTGCCACGAGAGGGGCCGGCGCTACGTGTGCGAATGCGCGCGCGGCTACGGCGGCCCCAACTGCCAGTTCCTGCTGCCCGAGCCGGGGCCAGTGGTGGTGGACCTGACCGAGCGCTACCTGGAGGCCCCGGGCGGGCGGTTCCCCTGGCTCGCCGTCTGCGCCGGCGTCGTGCTGGTGCTGCTGCTGTTGCTGGGCTGCGCGGCCGTGGGCGTCTGCGTGCGGCTGAAGGCGCAGAAGCGGCGGCTGCCGGGCGATGCGTGCCGGGCGGAGGCGGAGACCATGAACAACCTGACCAGTTGCCATCGCGAGAAGGACGTGTCGGTCAGCGTCATCGGGTCCCCACAAATCAAGAACACCAACAAGAAGGCGGATGTGCACGGTGACCATGGCGCCGACAAGGGCAGCTTCAAGGCCCGCTACCCGGCCGTGGACTACAACCTGGTGCAGGACCTCAAGAACGAGGACCCCGCCAGGGACACCCACGGCAAGCGCGAGGCCAGGCCAGAGCCCCACGGCTGCGTGGGCTTGGAGAAGGGCCCTGCAATGCTCAGGGGGTGCGTGGGGCACCAGGCAGGCTGCGGGCGCGGGTGGGACGGAGGCGCGGATGGGTCCAGGGGTGGGCGTTCCTCCAAGCTCACGGGGGTCCTCCTGTCTTCTCTTCAGCGGAGAAGCATCGGAAAGGAAAAGGCCGGACTCCACGTACTCCATGTCGAAAGACACCAAGTACCAGTCGGTGTATGTCATCTCCGAGGAGAAGGACGAGTGCATCATTGCGACTGAGGTCGGTGTGGGGCTCCTGTCGGAGTGTTGGAGCGTCGGAACTTGGCGTGGGGTGTTGGGGCTCACGTCAGGGTATCGGGACTTGGGGCTTGATGTGGAGCTTTGGGGTTCCTGTTGGGGCGTCATAGTTTGGTGTCGGGGCATCAGGACTTAGTGTGGGCATTGGGGCTCCTATTGGGACATTGGGGGTCTGGACTGGGGCATTGGGATTTGATGTCAGGGCAATGGGGCTCCATGTGGGGCTCGGTGGTGGGCCTCAGTGTGGGGCTCTGTGTGGGGCTTGGCATGGTGCTCAGCATGCAGCTTGATATGGGGTCACTGGGGTATCAGGGCTCCGTGTCGGGGTGTTGGGGCTTGGCATGGGGGCTTAGTGTGGGGCTCAGCGGTGGGATTCTATGTGAGGCTTGGTGGTGGGGCTTGGTGTGGGGTTTGGTGGTGGGGCTTCGTCAGGGCTTGGTGTGGGGGCTTGGTGTGAGGCTCAGTGGTGGGATTCTATGTGAGGCTTGATGGTGGGGGTTGGTGTGGGGCTTGGCAGTGGGGCTCCATGAGGGCTTGGCAGTGGGGCTTGGTATGGGGCTTAGCATGGGGTTGGATGTGGGGACATTGGGATGTCAGGGCTTGGTGTTGGGATGTGGGGTTCAGTGGTAAGGCTCCATGCAGGGCTCAGTGTGGGGGCATTGGGGTGTCAGGGCTTGGCATAGGGCTTAGCATGGAGCTCAGTGCCAGGGTGTAGGGGTCTGGGGCTCAGCATTAGGGCCGGGTTCAGGGCTTGGTGTGGGGGCATTGGGGTGTCAGGGCTTGACATAGGGCTTAGCATGGGGCTCAGTGGCAGGATGCAGGGGTCTGGGGCTCAGCAATAGGGCCGGGTGCAGGGCTTGGTGTGGGGGCACTGGGGTGTCAGAGCTCAGTGTTGGGGTGTTGGGGCACAGTATCTGACTTGGGGCTACTCCCCGATTGCTCGTAAGTGAGGGAGACGGAGAAGGCAGAGAACAGCGTGTCTCATCCTTAATGCATCTTCCTTCTGTTTTGCGGCCTCTCTAGGTGTAAAATGGAAGCGATATGGCAAAATCCCCGTTTCTCTTAAAATACATAGAATTCCAAGGATATATGCCCCAACGGATGCTGCTGTAAGAGGAGAGGGAGGCCCCGGACTGCTGCTGAGAAACTAAATTCAGACTGAGCTGGTTCTCTTCCTGAAGTTAGCAAGCGCCTGCAAACAGCCCGTGCCAGGTGGGCGCTCACGGACGCCTGTTGCACTGCCTCTGACTTTCCGTTGCACTATGGACAGTTGCTTTTAAAAGATTTATATTTAATGGATGGACTGACTGACGACGTAGAAGCCCGCACTGCCTGAAGTGTATATTTTGGATTCTTATGAGCCAGTCTTTTCTTGAATTAGAAACACACACACTGCCTTTATTGTCCTTTTTTGATACTGAAATGTGTTTTTTCTAGGTGGAAAAAAATGTGTGTTATTTTTTGGATTTGTATAAATATTTTCATGATATCTGTAAAGCTTGAGTATTTTGTGATGTTCATTTTTTATAATTTAAATTTTTTTGGTAAATATGTACAAAGGCACTTCGGGTCTATGTGACTATATTTTTTGTATATAAATGTATTTATGGAATATTGTGCAAATGTTATTTGAGTTTTTTACTGTTTTGTTAATGAAGAAATTCCTTTTTAAAATATTTTTCCAAAATAAATATTATGAATGACAAACAGAGATGTCTTTACTCACCCCTTCTCCCAAGTTGGGGAGTCCCTGGGTGGTGCAAATGGTTAACATGCTCAGCTGCTAACCAGAAGGTTGGAGGTTCAAGTCCACCCAGAGGAGCCTTGGAAGAAAGGCCTGGCAGTCTAATTCCAAAATATCAGCCATTGGAAACCTTATGGAGCAGTTCTACTCTGACACACATGGGGTCGCCAGGAGTCAGAGTCAACTGTGTTGTTTTTTTTTAATTACCTTGTTTGAGGCATTGGTGGTCCCGTGGTCGAATTCTCGCCTTCCATGGGGGAGACCCAGGTTCGATTCCCGGCCGATGCATCCCAAGCGCAGCCATCATCTGTCAGTGGAGGCCTGCATGTTGCTATGATGCCGAACAAGTTTCAGCAGAGCTTCCAGACTGAGGCCTGGCAATCTACTTCTGAAAACCAGCCACTGAAAACCCTGTGGAACACAGTTCTGCTCTGACACGCAGGGGTTGCCGTGAGTCAAGGTCAACTCAAAGCTGGTTGTGGTTCTCCGGAGTGGATCTGTCTTTGCCCACTCTTTATGTGAGACCCTTGGCTTTTCTTCTTTTAAGCATTCATCTGGAGTCCCTGCATTGTTTAAGAGCAACGTTCCTCACTCCTGTACCCCCTTCAGAGCGTCCCTGTGATGGTGCCATTGAGATAATTTAACAAGACCAGCTCCGTCATCGTCAGCAACTGACCTGTGAGCAGCCCGGTGACTCGGTGAGGATATCAGTTCGTGGGGTCTTCTCACTTGTGCGCTTTGCTGGTGCTGAAAAATGTGACTGGCAGCAGGTCACTTGCCTTTTGAGCCTTTTTTTTTTTTTTTAAAGGGACTAGAACATAGCCTTATTCGGCATCAGATACCCCATTTTCCTCTCTCTCCATTGCCACTGGAGTGTGCCTTTCCTGGCACACATCTGCTTTGAGCATCAGGCTCCACATCCACAGCCTGGTCTCTCAGCCCCTGCGGTCTGGCCCCCTGACTCCCCTTCTGCTTTGTTTTCTGTTCTTTTCGCCCACTTCTCCCTTTCACTTTGTGCTCCAGCCACACTGGCCTTTTTCAGGCGCGTGGGGCTCTCTGCTCCTCCTCAAGCCTGTGACTTCATCTTCCACCCGCCTGGAATCTTTTCTCCAGCTAACCGCTCTGCTGCCTGGAGGGTCTAACCTGCCATCCATCAGGGAAGACTTCTCTGGACCTCCCAGGCTAGGTATCCACCCCAAGGGTCAAATGCTGTCATAGCAACTTATCCTGTGGCATTATTAATTTGTGCAATCATTTTCTCAATGTCTGTGAGTCCCAGCAGACTACGATCCTGGTTTAAAGCTTCAAAATCCCCAAAGTCGCTTCTCAAAAGCGGGAGCTACAGTTTGAAGACACATACATGGAGTGGGAGACATGCCTTTTGAAAGTACTAAGGACATTTGGTGATGAGAGAAATATGATTTTGCTGCTTACTCTAACCAATGTCACTAGGAGTTTTGAACCATAGCGTAAAGCCAAAATAGGGATTATCTGAGTAGACAGCCATGTTGTTTTGTTCTTACTCTGACAACTGGTCTCTTGACTCAGCCATCCCTCGGTGGTATGAAAGGGTAGGTACTTGGCTACTGACCGAAAGGTTGGCAGATTGAACCCACCCAGTGATGCCTGGAAGAAAGGTCTGGTGATCTGCTTCCAAAAGGTCACAGCCATGAAAACACTATGGAGCAGTTCTAGTCTGCATACATGGGATCACCACGAGCCGTAGACGACTTGACAGCAACTGGTTAGACGTAGCCAGAGAACACCGTGGGGTAGCCAGCGAACTAAGACACAGTTAGCAAGTTCTCGGCACGTGAATTTCGTAGGAGGGGAGTGGGGAGTTCATGAACTTTCCGAACAGCAGCTGGCTGTCTTTAGAAATGTGGAGACAAAAAGTCACGTTTTGAATGCAGACACGAGTGTGACGGGCTAGCACCCAGGGAGAGCACAGCGTCTGTTGCTGAAGGTGGTTCTCACACTAGAAGCATAAGACATCCAAGGTGACTTTGAGAATCTCAGGTACTTGCCATGTGCAGGTGATTCACAGATAATTTTTTAAAGGCGACGTGCGCCAGTGCAAGGTACCCACGTTTTCTCTCAGAGTAACCTTGATTTGCACTCGTTTGCTTGAACGCGTGAGTTTTCCGTTTTAGACGAAGCCACTGACTTACCTCAAAGGTGCATGACTAAGATGCGTCCGACCCCAAACCACGGTGTTTTCAGTAACCTCACATGCATGTGGAAGTTGGACAATGAAAAAGGAAGACTGAAGAATAAGTGACGCATTTGAATTATGGGGTTGGCAAAAAATATTGATTATACCCTGGACGGCCAGAAGAACGAACAAATATGTCTTATCAGAAATACAACCAGCGTGCGCCTTAGAAGTGAGGATGGTGAGACTTCAGCTAATTTACTGTGGATACGTCATCACAAAGACCGATTGCTAGAAAAGGACATCATGGTTGGTAAGGCAGAGGGTCAGCAAAAACGAGGGAGACCCTCCGGGAGATGGACTGACGCAATAGCTACAACAATGGGCTCAAACACACCAATGATCATGCGGATGGCACAGGACCAGGCGATATTTCCTTCTGTTGTACATAAGGTGGCTATGAGTCAGAGCCAACTGGACGGCAGCTAACAGCAGCAGGACGACGGAATCTGATGAGCAAAAGGAGAGGGAACAGGGACCTCTTCTGCTCTCAATCATTTCTCTCTCTCAGGCAGGGAACTTATTTCGGTCTCAGTTTTTTGGACCCCTCCAGGGATGTCCCACCCTATTCCAGTGGTATAGGCTGGCCTCACATTTCAAGATGCTGTAAGAGGATCCTGCAGAGCACATGCCTTTTCTCAGTGGTTGAGGAAAGGAGCTGGACTCAGCTCAGTGCTCCCAGGGGGCGGTAGTAGGGACTATTTTGTAAATTAGCCATGGCAACATGAACTATTCGTGGAACCCTGCCACTCGGACACTCCATTTGGCCAGCCCCCAGGGAGCACAATGTGACCCAAATGGAACTTGGAGGGTTCGTATGTTGCAATCCCCATGTTCCTTTCCTGCCACGCAGTTCTTCCCAGGAGTGAAGAGCGGCATTTTCACTTTGCCCACCATTTCACACTGTCTGTGCTGTCGCCCCTCACTAGCCTGGGAGTGACCCCATGGCGAGTCTCCCTTGGGCCCTTCCACGTGCCCATCCGCTCCCTTTGGAATAAGCCCGCATGGAGCTGGACGCGGAAAAGCAGCCTTGGAATTTGCCGGGTGTGAAGTCTTGTCCTTTCTCCAGTCTAGGATTGCATGCAGAGCCTCAGGCCTGAGGGTGACCTCGACCACTGGGTGGGCATGGGGCGAGTGTGGGGCTGAAGGGCTGGTCTGCTTCCCTGCAGCCGGAAGGACGGGTCTCTGTGGCATCTGCCTCTTCCTGCCTCTGGGGACAGCCCTGTGGAGACTAGAAGCTGTGGGGTGAAAGGAAGGATTCACTCCCCCGCTTCCGCAAGGCTTATTTGGATTCCAAAAGTAGACTTAAGAAAATAATGGGGACAACCAAGGGCTCTAGGGGAAAGACTCTGGTGTGGGGCCAAGAGTGTGGCTTCCGGACCTGGCTGTACTGTAAAAGGAAGCATGTGGCCTAAGGCTCCACAGAGCCTTTCCCAGATTCTTCTGGGGGATGCCTTGTGGTCTCACGGCACATGGGGTAAGTGTCTTAAGCGTGTGAATATGAGTGCATGTGTGTGCACGTGTGTGAATGTATGTTAGTGTGTGAGCATGTGAGTGTGTGAGAATGTGTGTGTGCATGTGTGTGAGCATGTGAGTGTGTGAGAATGTGTGTGCATGTGTGAGAGCATGTGTGAGTGTGTGAGAATGTGTGCATGTGCGTGAGCGTGTGTGAGTGTGAGAGCATGTGTGAGTGTGAGAGCATGTATGTGCATGTGTGAGAGCATGTGTGTGTGAGAATGTGTGTGTGCATGTGTGTGATCATGTGTGTGAGAA